CATGAGATCTATGCTTTGTTACATATGTGATTTCTAGTAATGTATCATACGTGCAGTGTCCAGGAGATAATTCTGTATTATATATATCACTCGCACAGTATTGATCCTTGGTTCTAAACTGGTGGGTAGTGACCCAAAAGCAGGTCGTGACCCCGTGTTCAGTAGGTCCCCGCGTGCCTTCTTTTCTAGGTGAGAAACTCCTCAGCCTCCCCCTAGCGCAGCGCCATCAGTTTTCGTGCGAGCAGCCATTCAAAATACACTGAGTGGCCGGATTATTATATACACCGAGTGGCCGGATTATTATATACACCGAGTGGCCGGATTATTATATACACTGAGTGGCCGGATTATTATTTGTATATAATAATCCGGCCACTCAGTGTATATAATAATCCGGCCACTCGGTGTATATAATAATCCGGCTACTCGGTGTATATAATAATCCAGCCACTCGGTGTATATAATAATCCGGCCACTCGGTGTGTATAATAATCCAGCCACTCGGTGTATATAATAATCCGGCCACTCAGTGTATGTTGCCCGGCCCTGCGTGTCAGCTTGAGGCGGGCTGGGGCTATGGCCGTGAGGTAGCTCCATCCATACGTGCATTGCTTACAGCTCCCTCACATGTCCTGTAGAGGTGCCTGCACCGGAGTGACATCACATTCTGCCTCCCAGAACCTCTACGGGGGATGCAAGGGAGCTGTACCAGCAATGCACGTATGGATGGAGCTCCGTCACAGCACAGCACCCCACACCGGACCCCAGGCTGGGGATCCGCTCCAGTTCTCGTAAGATGGGGAGACTGGGAGGATCTTTAAAAAAAGAATTATATATTTTGTTGGTGTGGTTGTGTGTGTCTGTCAGTGTCATTGAGGGTCCGTTCACACTACTACAGTGCGTTAATCCCAAAGTCCCATGCGATTAATGCATTGTACCACGCAATCGCACCTACTGTGCGTTCTGGTGTGGAAAGTGTGTTGCGTTGCCATTAATTTGAATGACACCCCAAACGCACCTCCCGCCCACAGTCCGATCGCCTGCACCCGAACGTCCGGTACTGCAATGCCGTGCGCTCCATTGCAGTGCGTCTTGGGTCGCGACCTAATGACCAAGGACAAATGTGGCTCCTGAGGTTACACAGATTAAGAACCACTGGTATAGATGATCGTGTATGAGCTGTGTGCGGTGCAGCTATTATACAATCCCATAGAGTAGATCGGAGGAGAGCTTCACCCCCCCCCCCCCACCAACCGCCTCCACCAACAATCCTCCACCC